CTAATTTTATTAATTTGATTCATCTCTCTCTTTTGGTTAATTTGGTTAAAGATTTGTTAACCTTGTTGATCTTTTCAAAGAATTAAAAAAATATTTCCTTATTTCATGGATTGTATTTTTTAGTTTATATGTCATTATTTTCAGCTCTGATTTTGATGATCTCTTTTCATCCACATTTTTTTCCATGATGGCTTCAGGTGAATCATTAAGTTATTAATTTGAGATCTCTCAAAAAAATTTTTTTGAGACAGGTCTTTCCTGTAGCCCTGGCTGATTTGGAATTCACCATGTAGACCATGTTGGCTTCCGTCTTGCAGAAATCCACCAACCTCTGCCTTCCAGGTATTTGGATTAAAGCTGTAAGTCACCCACACCTGGCAAGACCTCTCAAATTTTTTGATGTGGGCACTTGTTGCTATGCACTTTCCTCTTATGATGTCCTTCATCCCCCCTCCATAGTTTTGTTTTCCTTTCATTCAATTCTATGAATTTTTAATTTTTCTTTTTGTTTTCTTCATTGACCCAATTATCATTCAATAGTGTGTTGTTTAATTTCCATAACTTTCCATACTTTCTGTAGCCCATAGTGCTGTTGATATGTAGCTTTATTCTTCTGTGGTCAAGTAGAATGCAGGATATTGTTTCAGTTTTGCTGGATTTGTTGAGACTTGGTTTGTGTCCTAGTATGTGGTCAGTTGTGGATAATGTTGCATGAGTTGCTGAGAAGAATGTGTATTGCTCAGTATTGGGGTGGAATGTTCTGTAGATAAGTGCTAGGTCCACTTGATTTATGATGCCATTTAGTTTCCGAGTTTCTGTTTAATTTTTTTTCTAGATGACCTGTCTGTTGGTGAGAGTGGGGTAATCTGTAATTTTAGATCTAATAAAATTTTAAATGAAATTGGTCCCCTCTGTGTTTGGTGCATCTATGTTTTGGATTGTAATACCCTGTTGGTGGCTTTTTTTCCCTCCCGTTAGTGAGCATGAAGTGTCTGTCTTTTTATCTTCTGACTGGTTTCCTTTTTAAGTCTGTTTTGTCAGATATTAGAATAGCTATGCCTACTTGTTTCTTAGTTCTACTTGCTTGGAATACCTTTTTTTCATCCTTTTATCCTAAGGTGATGTTTATTGTTGATGGTGAGGTGTGTTTCTTGGAGGCAGCAAAAACATAGATCCTGTTTTGTAATCCAATCTGTTAGTTTGCGTTTCTTTACTGGGGAAATTGAGACCTTTAATATTCAGTGTTATTAAAAGATGTGTAATAATTCCCAAACGTTTGTTGATTTTTATGATCTCTTTCAATGACCTGTCCTGATGTTGTTTATTTGTTCCCTCTTGTTCCCCATTGTTTGTGACTTCTTGTGTGTGTATTTCATATTTTATTTATTATTTGTATTTTATGTGTATGAGTGTATTGCCCGTATGTATGTAAGTGCACCCATGTCATGCAATGTCCTTGGAGGTCAGAAGTGGGTGTCGAATCCCCTGTAACTGGAGTTACAGATGGTTTTTAGCCACCATGTGGGTGTTGGGAACCGAACCTGGGTCTTCTTTAAGGGCAGCCAGTACTCTTAACTACTGAGCCATCTCTCCAGCCCCTTCTTGTGTGTTTTTAATCCTTCTGTTCAGATTGAAGTATTCTTTCTAGCATCCTCTGGAGAGCTGTGGTCATAAATTCCTTTCATTTGCTTTTATCATAGAAAGTTTTAATTTCTCATTCAATTTTTAACAGATAGTTTTACTGAGTATAATGGTCCAGGTTGACAGCTGTGGTCTTTTAAAACTTGGGGTACATATTTTCCCATCTGTGGGGACTTTTACAGTTGAACTGCATTTCAGAATAGGAGATGAATATAAGACTCTGGACAAGAGGTGGAAGGCTGTGATTTAAAGTGATGTGTTTGGGTGTCAAGTTGACAAGGGGTGGAGCTATGATGGTTAATCTCAACTGTCAACTTGATATCTAGCACCAGCCCAGGGATGGGCCTCTGGGCATGCTTGTGGGGCACTATCTTGATTAGGAAGATCCACCCACTGTGGGTAGCACCATTTGCTTGGACTGTATGAAGAGGAGAAAGTGGGCTGAATGTAAGCACTCTTTGTTCTCTGCTTCCTGATCATGCACAAAATGTCACCAGTTGCTTCAAGCTCTTGCTGCCTTAACTTTCTTGCTATGATGGGCCACACTTTGAGCTGTGAGCTGAAATAAACCCTTGGTTAATTAAGGTGATTTTGTTAGGACATTTTATTACAACAACAAAAATTGCTAAGGCAAATGACAATCATTTTAGAAATTAACATTGGTTGTACCATGTGTACTCGTATATCACTATGGGTATGAATGGAAAGGAAAATAATCAGAGTGAAAATAAGGACTAGTTTTGATGTGATAGAGACACTGGAACAAAACAGTAAGTAAATAGAAGAGGGGAACAGTAGAATCAGAGAGCTAGAATAAAAAGATAAAGAAACATGATCAGATAACCTAAAATATTCCAAGCTCACAGGATTAGACAGACACCCCACAAATCAGGCTAGCCTATGCTCTTTGGGAAAGCCTAAGAAAAGGACAGTGAAAAGGGAAGAATTGAGAAAAAAGAGACAGAAGGCAGACAAGAATAGAGCAGGACAAACCAGGCTAAAGTGCTATTGGCCATTCAATAAAAAAGAATAAATGTGAAGAGGAGAGAACTGGATGGATTGTAGAATGAATTGAGTTTAGGATGCTTGCTAGTTCCAACTGCAAGTCTTCCTGCACTCTTTTCTGGGTTCCCAGATGCCTGTCAACCCTGGAGGCAATCCTTTGAGAGGGCAGGTCACAGATGCTGGTTTCGTCAGTGGGCAGTTCCATGGGTTGTGTCTAATATGCTGTTCACACCTCTGGGCAGTCTGCGATTTCAAGTACAATTGCTGGCCCCATCTGAGAGTGGCCCATTGTGAGGTTGGGTCACAGTTGTTGGCCATACACCTTTTGTCTGGCTCCTCTCTTTTCTGCTCTTTAAAAAAATGTCTGTTGCTGAAAGTGGAGTGCAGATTCTCCCGGTTTCTCTGTCTTCAGTAGTGGCTTCTGCTGCCTGCTATTGGCACTGCCCTCAAGAGAAGCCAGTCCTGGGATGGACTCTGGTCTTTCTCTCCTGCTTCTTAAAGTTTCCTGCTTTACTTTGCGATAAAACAAGAGGCTTTCCAGCATCACTCACCTCTGATTGCTGTTATTTAACTGTTCCCATTTTGCTCCCTGGAGATTCTAGCAGATGGTGTCTGCCTATTGTCTACCGTCTTGGATCTTTCTCTTCTTGAGGTTTATACAGGAAGTAGAAAGTTTTAAAAGTACTTTATTTAATATTCGTGCATGCACATAATGTGTTTTGAGCCGATCTACCCCCATTCCCTTCCTGCCAATTCTTTCTCTATCCCCTCAACTCCTTTTCCCTCTAACTTCAAGTGCTGTCTTTAAAAGAAAGTGTCCACTGAGGTCATTTAGTGCCTGTATGTGCATGGATGTGGGACCATCTACTAGAGCATGGGTAGATGCTCTGAGGGCCCACATCCCTGAAGAAAACGGACTTTTCCTCCCCCAGCAGCTATCAATTGCCAGCATTTCTTCAGATAAACATGGGACTTCATAAGCCCCTCCTCCACCTATGCTGGGATTTTGGCTGGTCTGATACTATGTGACTCTTACGCAGGTGCAGTCCCAGTTGCTATAAGCGCGTGTATGCAACTCCCTGTCACGTCTAGCAAATACTCTTCTGCCTCAGATGCCTGCCCTGGGGTGTGTCCTGCACATGATGCAGAGCAAGCACAAGTGAAGTGCTTGGCAACGAGCGCTGGAGGGCTTCCTCCATGTTTTTCCTCCAAGTACGTCTTCACGTACTTCCTCACGTACTTCCTCACGTACATCCTCACGTACTTCCTCACGTACTTCCTCACGTACTTCCTCACGTACTACCTCACGTACTTCCTCACGTACTTCCTCACGTACTACCTCACGTACCTCCTCACGTACTTCCTCACGTACTTCCTCACGTACCACCTCACGTACCTCCTCACGTACTTCCTCACGTACTTCCTCACGTACTACCTCACGTACTTCCTCACGTACTTCCTCACGTACTTCCTCACGTACTTCCTCACGTACTTCCTCACGTACTTCCTCACGTACTTCCTCACGTACTTCCTCACGTACTTCCTCACGTACTTCCTCACGTACTTCCTCACGTACTTCCTCACGTACTTCCTCACGTACTTCCTCACGTACTTCCTCACGTACTTCCTCACGTACTTCCTCACGTACTTCCTCACGTACTTCCTCACGTACTTCCTCACGTACTTCCTCCACATACTTCCTCACGTACTTCCTCACGTACTTCCTCACGTACTTCCTCCACATACTTCCTCACGTACTTCCTCACGTACTTCCTCACGTACTTCCTCCACGTACTTCCTCACACACTACCTCCATGTACTTTCTCCAGTGTTCACGTTTTCTCCACATTGATTGAAATCTTCCTTTAAAATTCCACTTTCCTTTTTCTTCAACAACGGAAGTGCTAAAGTAATATGTAGATGCGATCTATTAAAGTGTTCTGAGAAAACTAGTAACAATAGTTATATTGTTATATAACAATATATAACAATAGTTATATATGTCAAACGGTTAAATTCATAAGTGAGATCTCAAAAATTATTTTTGACTTAAAATTGAAAAAATCCTGATTAATATATTTAGGGCACTGGAAAAAATCATTGCTGTCTCCTCTATTGTAAACAACCAACCTACCCACTGACCGAATCATTTGTAGTGAGTGCATTTGTAAGTACACAGAGTGGGGGTAGGAAAAAAAGGTGGATTGCTGATTTTGGAAAGTATTCTGGCTCATTTTATTTGGGAGTTCTGTCTTAAAAGAATACTAGAGAAAATTTGGGGGACTGGTTTTGAAAAGTCATTTTACATGTGTTTTGCTCAACATATTTAAGGTAATGGGATTCAAATAGGTGATAAAAATATAGTATAGACGAGTTTATGAATTTGTTCATTATCATTGCATAGGGACCATGCTAAATATCTCTGTGTCATTCTAATTTTTGTATGTATGGCAGGCACTAGACCATCATCTTTCCTTTTTCCTACTGGTTGGGACATGACATGGAGAAGAGAGAAAAGAAAGAGGGGCTCTAATCACTGCCTTCATTGGCTCAGCACCTGGACTGCTCTTTAATAAGCCGGAGAATTCCCTGGAGATTCTAGACTGAGCGGATGACTTAGATTATTCTGTGTACAAGTCAGGACACAACCAGAAATGTGATAGTAGGTCTCCTAGTAGGTGGAATTTAGTCCAGGGAATGAATTACATTGATAAGAGAGATCACAAATGGGGCTTCCAGGTGGGAGGCAGAGTTATGAAAGGAAGAGGTACGGGGCAGCAGCTGCACCTCCTAGAACATCACAGGAGACAGGAAAGAGGTGGAAAAGCTCTAGTTATTTCAGTCTTCCTGATCTCCATCTCCCAGCAATTTTTCCCGTTTCTCAAGCCATTAAAGAGCATGGAAGAGTCACTTGAAGATGTGAGCAGAGCAGAGCAAAGGCAGAGAGAGCACAGGCTTTCAGGAGACAGATGCATTGAATACATTTAGGGGTTGAAGAGATGGCTCAATGGTCAAGAGCACTTATTGCTCTTGAGAGGATCTGAGTACAGTTCCTAGTGCTCACGTTGTGTGGTTCACAACTGCCTGCAACTTTAGTTCCAGGGGATCTGATGCCCTCTTCTGGCCTCCGAGGGCATCAGGATGCAGGTTGTGCACAAAAATTCATGAATGCACACACACATACATAAAATCAATCACCCACTCAGTCTATTACCAGATCATGCAGATTACCTTACTACACCCTCTGACATGCTCCTCCACACAAATACTCATTCTCTACAGTTTTTAGTGCATGTCTGCACATGGGTTTGCTCATGCATATCTAAAATCTTTTCTGAGGTTATGTCCCAATTGTGAAAAAGTACAAGTGCTTATTTTAAGACTACATGCAAAATGACAGCTAACACTCTTGTTTTCAACTGGCACTTAACATTTATATGATGCCAAAACATCTGGTCATTCCCATCAATTCTGGCAAGAAGTTCCTCTTGTTGATTGCTTGGTGTTTTGTACAGAGAACAGCTGGCTGGTTTGCTGGAGCTTTGATTACAGCTGAACTGGCTGGATGTTTAGTATCATGTAGATTTATGTTATGACTGGCTAAAGATGAAACAGAGCCAGTCACAGGGAAGACCAATAGCTAGTCTATGAAATGAAACTTCTGTATGGAATTTCACTGGAAAAGATGATAACTTTTTTCCAAGAAGGAGTCTCAGATGCGCCTATACCAAAGTTTATGTCTGGGATTGTCCTTCTGTTTCGGTTCTCTGTAACCAGGTGTCCCCTGCCTGTGGGCCCAGGAGCTCAGGCTGCCGTTGCAATTCACCCTGAAGGCAGCTGGCTCCTGGGCTTTACTCAATATTTTTGCCTTTATATCTCTCTATCTCCATCATCAAATTACATTGGTCCTGTCATTCTGAGATCTGCTCCATGTAACAGAGTCTCTAAATCTAAATCTAACAATCATGAAAATGTTTGTGGATGATACTGTGTTCATACTTAACTTTTGATTTTCCTATATGTGAATGTGGTCTCAACTGAGACTTTAGTTCAGGCATGCCTGGCAGGTTTTATATTGTGTTTTCTGGAAGCATGTTTGCATAAACACTGAAGAATATCCTGGGAGAAGAGGCCAGATTGGCTAAGATGGCAGCAGGGCACCTTCACCTTCAAAGGGTGAGCCTGATCTGTGTGCACCATGGCTTCAGCCAGCTACAGGGGTCTTCCAGTCTTCCTGGAACATAGTGTGCTGTGGACCTCAGAGATGGTACTAAAGTTTTAAGAGGTGAGTCGTGTGTGTAGTGTGTTGTGGTGTGTGTGTGTGTGTGTGTGTGTGTGTGTGTGTGTGTAATTACTTGTACCCTTATCTAGCAGAGCCTTATATGGCTAAAGAAAGATTACAGAATTACCAAATACATAAGTTTCATTTGTTGAGAAAAAAAGTCAGCTTTTATTTAGACACCAAAGTTGCAGTCAGGTGCTGGGAGAATCCTGTGTAGAAGGCACCTAGAATTCAGCCATCACATGGTTTTGGTTCAGATGTGGTCTCTCTTCATGCTGATGTTTCTATATGGCATTTTTTGGTTAACTGATGATTGCCCCAACTACTCAGTGTTTTTCTCTTTTTCATGTTTATGTAGTAACTTTGCAATGATACTTTTGAGTTTTAACAATCTTTACTGAAAACTTACTTCTTTGCTACTTTTCTACGATTTCATTCTATAATGGGCTGAACTCTGATTGTGTGTGTGTGTGTGTGTGTGTATGTGTTGTTCTGTTGCTTCTTTGGGCTTTTTTTGTCTATTTCTAACTTATACTGGCAAGGGGATGATGTTAACCCTTTACTCCACAATGTTACTAAGGATTTAAATTTATAATAAACTTGTCCTCCCTGTCTTGTCTTCCTGGAGTGAGAGTGAATTCTAATGCCCACTTGTGCTGTTCTCCTATTGCTAGAAAAACTAGGTGATAAATCCTCTCATGCCAAGCTAATATTATGCACTATGAAAAGTGTGGTATAGAGCAAGGTGGGTCCTACCATACCGAAGGTGAAGGAGTCAAGTTGTCTGTTCACAAAAAGGCCAGAACTTTCCCACATGTGTGTGCCAGGACTTGCAGACAAGGAAGTTGGTCTTCATGAGCTGTACTGTATCTGCAATGTTACCAGTGCTAAAGTCATCCATTGAAAAACTTTTTGACTGACTGCTTCCACATGGCAAGTTTTGATTCCTCAGTTGATTTGTGTTGAAACCTTTTGTTCTCATTGTTTGAAAAGTAGGAGCTCCCCAGGCACACATTGACACAGAGACTCATAGTAGACCTGTGTGTGGATTATGTTTTGCACATTCCATTATCAAACAATACATTTCCTATCTAGAGATGAGGACACACAAAATTTACCCTCTCTGTGGTTATGATTTCTTCTTATTACCCTCTCTGAAGCTGAGACTGAGCTTTCTGGATCACACCTGGAGAAGTACCTGCCTTCCACTTTTAATTGGAAAAATGGTAATAATTATGAAAGAACAGAAAAGACACCCCACTTCACCATTCTTGGCTCTTTTCTTTGATGGTAAGGTAGAGGAGCAAGGATGAAAAATCCAATCCTTCTGTGGACTATTTCCCTAATTTCATTTTTTAGAGTCATTGAGTATTAACTGAAATAAACCCATTTGTTCTTTAAGGAAAATCATATTTGTCATCTTTAAAAGGTCCATTTGTTTAATTTCTCTTATTTCTCTTTAACTATTGAGATTACTGGATGGAAAAATCCATTTATTTTTAATGAATAATTCAAAGGAAATCTGAAAAGCATCACCAAGCTTGTGACTTTGTGCAGAGCTAAGGTTGTATGTGCTTCAGGGTATACTGTGGAAGTGTTTGGTTACAGTCTCTACCTACTTCTCTCTTTTGGCTTTTATCTCTTGACACCAGGGATTTTTGGGGTGAGTGGAACGAGATTAGAACTGGGTAACAATTAGAATTCTAACTCTTAAGTATTATTTTGCAAGTGTTTTCGAATATTGTAACAAGATATTTTAATTATGCATTTCTTTATGAAACCTTGCTGTCTTGATTCTCACCTCCACAGACAAGAAGTGTTAAAACAGGTGTCATTGTCTCCCAATTAAGAGGCAGAAAGTATTATTGCTTATTTGAGGTCACACATTAGGTTAGTAAAGAGGGAAGAGTCAAACTTAGAATTTTTACTTTCTTTAAAAGTTGGCTACCTTAATGAAGTATATTGGGGTAGGGGCTGGTCTTTGGCTCAGCTGAACTTGTTTGTTTGAAATATAATTGTTCCCTCTGTGCACTTGAAAACAACAGTCTTGTTTACAGCTTTGACTCTGGCAACTTGGAAGGCAATAGTTAAGTATTTATAACTGAGTGGATAAATAAATGAAAGGAAAAAGTGATATGCAGACAGATGCTGAGGGCCTACTTTGTTTTGTTTTGGGTCTTTTAAGACAGGATTTCATGTAGCCCAGGCTAGCCTTGAACTCTGCACATAGTAGAGGATGACCTTGAACTCCTGATCCTCCTGCTTCCACCTCCCAAGCATTGGGATTACAGGCACCTGCTGCCACATAGAGCCTAGCCTACATTGAATAACAATGCCACATGCCTCTGGTCTATTTTTCCTGTTTTTCTTATGTCTAGAAGTGATATTTGAAATTTGAAACAGTGGAGTTAGGCACAGAGTTTTAGTTTATGGATATTGTCTATAGTTAGGCCAAAAGTATTGCATTTGAAGCCTATTTCTTTGTTCTGCTACTTTATAAAATCAATTTAATCTCTCGACTGGTCCTTGACATCCATCTAGAACTTGCCTATAACTTAAGACTGTTTTGTAATATGGTTCTTTTTCTGCAATTGGGGGTCTGCTTTTTAGGGCTGTAACGGCATCTTTATTACAGTTTTTTCAGTCTAGCACCTTGTGAGTCCTTACAGAGTTTGATTTCTCCTCCTTAAAGAGTTACCCTTGGAAAGATATTAGGCATGCAGTCTTTTCTTTCCTAGGGCCCCTGGGGAACCACTTACTGAACAAGCACCTTCACATTGAAATTCCTGCTCAGCCACTCTGAGTGCCATCAACAATGACATATTTCTCAAAAACCACCATGCTCCATCCTAAGGTTTCATCTACAGTGCTTTCTGTTCTCCGTTTCATGCCTTTAGAAGGGTGGGATATCTTTTTGAGGAGGTTTTGCTTGACTGATTAGTATGCACTTAAAAGTGGGGTGACAGCCAAAGACATGATCTTCTGATCCACGAGACACCATGGAGACAAAGTTACTAGATAATTATTTTTATAATTGTTGTCTATTTCTTTGAACAACGTAGATATTGTGACAAACAAATCTCTTAAGGAAGTGAGGATGCTTATACTCTTTCTCTCTTAACTCACCTTTCTATCCTATAAAAGTTTTGCAGAATCAAACCAAACCTGTTCCCTGGAAGCCTAA